ATAATAATAATAATAATAATAATAATAAATAAATAAATAAATAAATAATAAATAATAATAATATGAAAGCATCTTTCTCAAAAGTATTTCTAGTATTTTAAATCACACAAAATGTATAATAAAAAAGGAAGATAAATTTTAGGATTAAACAGAGTAAAAGTTTGCTAATGCACTGCAACTTTATTATTATTATTATTTGTGCTAGTATTTCATGAAATTATGACATAATTTCAATTAAATACTGATAAAGTGGGATACTGCTAAATATTAAATGAAGATCAAGCGCAAAGTGTTAAATTGATTGAGTAGACATGAATAAGCTAATCAAATTTACAATGTAAAAAGTATAAAAAAATATTTTTACTTCTAAAGGATTCAGTGAAAAGCTTGAATTAATGCTGAGATAGTATTAGAATCTTAAGTCTTGTTGTACAAAAAGCAATTTAGAGAGTAAACGTACCATTACCAATGACTGAATACGTGTGGTTATAAATGGATGTTTTCAACGATAAAAAAAATGGCGCGTCTGTTTCACTTAACGATAACGTTTTATTCTTAAAGCCAGCCGTGCAAATGCCAGCATAAATGCAAATAGAATAATGAAACTTGCGAAGATCTGTTGCAAACATATACTTTGCCTATGAATATAATTTCAAAAATTAGTAAAATTATAGTCTATGAAACAAAATAAAATTTTGATCACAGTGAACAAAGAATAGCTAAAAAAATTGCGAGTAAAAAATATGAAATTTTTAAAATTGGAGTAGAAATTAGAAATGTATTATCATATAGTAAAGGATTCACAAGATATGGCATGCTAAGATACGGTATGCTGATTTTTTAGCGTATTGTATAATACACAGAAAAGACAACAAAGAAAGACAGTACTGTTAAAGAAAATCTGATTTCAATAGAAATGAAAATGCGCATTATAAGCGAATCAACGCTTCGAATAAAATTTAATATATAAAAAAATTCAAAAATAGAATTTCAATAACAAATCCAAAATAAATATTGGCAAGAAGTGAAATATTCATTCTGCAACAAATTTAAACTCACATACGCTTTGCCAACATTTTGACGAGCTGAGAGCACTCCCACCAGCATAGGCCAAGAATTTACGTACATTATGATGGAGCCACCATTACTGCCCTTAATACTGCATGACATTTCAGAAATTCAGAGAGCTCTTTTGAGTTTAAATTCAGAAACATTTTACTTTGCATTCTGATCTGATCTAGCACTCAGTGATTGCTAGCAATGCTTTGCTTTGCATTGCATGCTCGATGAACGGATTCTGATGTCCAAAGCTCTTCTACGAGAGTTACACTTTCAAATTTGGTAATCAGAGCAAGAGAAGGAATGCCAGTCTCCCACACAAACCTCATATAAGGGCTTCTCGCCTTCAATCATAATAACTCGTCTGCACGCACTTCGAGTTATGCTTTCGGGGCATTCATCTATGTACACATTGTGCTCATAAGTTACTCTTTCTATTACGTTCATCGGATTCAACCCATTGCTGTACTTCAAATTTGCTAAAAACCATTTCCCTCACTTCCGTCATCATTCGGGTATTATGAATCTTCACTGCGCAAAAACGAAAAATACGAAAGTACTGTGAACAATAAAAAAAGAATTTTTAATTGCTTTATTATGAATATAGTATTTTTTCGTTCAAGAGAGATTAAATTTATTTGCAAGTAAATGCTTATTATAGGTTTATAGCATAAAAACTGAGTAAAATATAGTAAAATTTGAAGTGAAAGAGAAAGGCTTCAAGAAATTTAAATTTATGAAGCTCAAACTGACTGCTACGGCCAAATGAAGCAACGGCATAAACGCGTGATACATCCTTGGGTAATATTTCTGGAGTTAAACAAATTGGAAATAACATTTCAGTGGAACTGTCTATATGTTTATCAAATCTTGGTATCATAGTTTTTACTTCAAATATTGCTATATCAGAATATGGCTGATAGAAAGGAACTCCACGCATCTTAAAAGCAGTTTTTTGTAAAAAATTATTAGCTACTAATTCATTTCCTTTTTGTATTACTTTCTGATTCAATTCAGCAATGAATAAAATGAAATTTTGATAGTAAGTAGGTCTATTTTTCATAATTATTTGTTCAAACAATTAATTGTTTAAATTAACAAAAGAATCAAATAAATATTTTTGTTGACAATTAATATTTGAATGGAATTAAAATTATTAATTATAATCAAAAAAGAAATAGAAAATTGGATTTGTTATAAAAATCCAAATATATTACAATGGCTGGTTTGAGTAAAACAGATCACAATTCAAATTTTATCTCAATGATATAAAATATTTTGTCAGCGCTTTTTTTATTTTCTAAGAAATATCTAAAAAATAGCACGCAAAGAACTTTGCATTTGCTTATATAAAAAGTGAAGATTTTATCTTTTAAATTTGATGATAGCCATAAATTAATCAAAGTTAATAAAATATTAATTAATAAAATATTACTATAAATGATATTTTTGAATAATGAAATGTCGAATTATTAATTTACTTAATACTCTGAAAAAAAAATCAGTTTTTTATATTATTAAAAAATTTATTGCTCTTCCAGCTTTTACTTTTCGAGATAGTGTACGACTGATCAAGAATGACTGGTTTTTGCCAACGCAAGTAAACACTTTTAATTGGCTCAAAAAAAAGACTTAAGCTAATTAGTAAATGTCTTGACTTGCTAAGCTAATTAGTAAATGTCTTGACTTGCTAAGCTAATTAGTGAATGTCTTGACTTGCTATATAGAAGATAAACTTTTCTAAACTTTTAATATTTCACATTTCAATCTGGTTTTTAAATAAAGTGACATAAATACTCCAATTATTAATATTTTAATACGCAATGTTGTTGTAAAATGACACTATTATTGTTGTAAAATGACATTATTGTTGTAAAATTATTACTGTGAATTAAACTTTAAAAAGTGTATTTCTTTACTGACAACAGAATTACCGAAGGGTATGAAAAACTTTATGTTTAAATTCAAAATATTTAAATTTAGCAAAAAAGAAACTTGCCAAAGCTATGTTGCTCACGATGGATGAATTCAGAATAAGCAGTGAAACAGGAGTTATGCGTATTACACTCCTTGGCACCTTGTCCGGACATTCCTACAAGAAATGCTCTTATTTTATATCAATAATATTTTTTCTAATAAAATTTCTGCATAGAAACAGTTTACTTTGTTTGTTTATTTTGGAAACATTAAATTATTTCTTATAATATCTGAAATTACAGCAGTTCATTTAATAAGCATAATAATTTTGCAATTTCGTTCTTAAACTTAATAATAAAATATTTGCAATAAAAACTACATTTCGAATAATATTGTCGTATAAAACTGGATTTTTTTTGCTTATGTACAAACAAGTTGTTCCACCGTAAATCTTGAATTCATTTATTGGAGTATTCACAACCCCGCTGTAAAGAACTGATAAAAATGATTATGTATCAGAAACTTAATCAAACTTTAGACAAATTTGATAAAAGTAATTATATTATATATCAAAAATTTGATATTTAGTTACAAAATATAATACAACTTTTGTAAATCTGATTAAACGTGATTACTATTTCTTAAAATTTGAAACAAAAAATCAAATAATAAGCATTTACGAAATTAAAATGTTTTAATTTTATTATAATATAATTTATTTAATAAATAACTATATTTATCATTTGATTTTTTAAGTAGCCTTGTAACTAACATTCTTGCACGTTTTTTATAAGCTTAAAAAATTTGATCACTATTTTTTTCGCATTTTCATGACATATTAATTCAAGTTCTAGCATAAATGAATTAGACAGAAATGTATATTTATTAAATTTTGTTTGTTTTTTTTATTTAGCAAAAAAAGCACTACTTGTGTTTAAACTCTAAGCAACTGGCAGCAGTGATAATATGTCGATTACTAATGATTGAACCTGTACAGATACTGATAACATCTGCAAAAGATGCGACCAATTAATTTAGTAAGCCGAAATTCAAATTGAAGAAACCCTTAAATTAACCTTAAAAGTTTAACTTTGAAATGAAATGAAAAGCTGAAAAGCTGAAAAAAAATCAACGGAAAATAAATATTTCCGAGTGTTTCAATTCATTTAATTTATTCACTAATGTGGTATTTTGATTTAAGAGCTCTTACCTACAAATAATTTGCTTTTTTAAGGTATTATAAGCATGACCTGTTGATGCATTAGTTGTTCTCACGTGAATTATTTGCACCACATGCTTAAACCAACGGAATCCTCTACTTCCACCTGTCTTCGAACAATGACTTTTCCTGATCTCATTCTCGCGAATACTTAGCTTTTTAAATGCAGACGACAAGGTATCTTAAAGGTACTGCGCGTGAAACTAAGTCAAGTTGTTAAAGTAAGTTGTTAAGTTAGTTTAGTAATACGTTTAAATATTTAAAAATAAACATATGAATAATCTTAAATTTTAAATGAAGTAATATATTATCGATGAATATTATCATATTACGAGCAAAAGTTATAAGTATTAACAGTGTAATTATTAATGATAACAATAAGATTACAGTAATCTCATGATGTTAAGAAGTTGAAGAAATTTTGTTTCATTATTGACTCCAAGAACGTTTTTCGATTTTAGATAAGTTTTGTACTTAAACTAATGATAAGACCTACGAACGTGAACGGAAATGACTATTATAAAAGTAATAGTCATTTACGTTCACGTTTACGTTTGTAGGTGTTATCACTTAAAATTCATTTTTAGAAATCTGAACGAAAAATACTAATTATTTTCTTCTAATAAGCTTATGACAAAATGATTTGTTAACAACGTTTATACAGGGTATGTTATTAAGATTATTATTTTATTTTGTATGCCAATAGTTTTAAATAATTGAGCCTAAAAATTCTGACTTTTAACTAATACTCAAAAAGTTAAATATATTAAATATTAATCGAGTCTAACAAGAATGAGACATAAAATAAACAGCAAGCATCCAATGCAAAATCATAGCTGAAAATGAGCTTTTGCAGCAAAAAAACACACTGTTATGCAATTTGAATTGAAATATATAAGATATTTATTCATAATAATAATAATAATAATGATAATAATAGTGATAATAATATTTATTACAAAATAATTATTCATTCAAAGAGTAAAATATAAGCCCCTTGGAAAGAAGATGAAATTACTAATTTTGTCTGATAAATACCCTAGTTACACTGAACTGTAAAAAGAAAAAAAATGCCAAAAGAATTTTGCGTAATTAATAATTTGCATATCGAAAAAGCGATAGAAATGAATAGAAGCTTGAGCACTGCCATATTTTAATAGTTTTGATTCAATTAAAATGGCTGAGCAGTCTGCTGAAATGGAATCTAAAGATTTGCCTCTTAATGGGAAGTGAGAATGTTTGTAATTGTTATCATACATTTTGATTACTGCAGTAAACAATTTTACGAGCAATCTATTTGACATTTCTATTTTTATTTTTATTTTTCAACAAAGCGAAAATCTATTAATATTAAAAAGACAAGCTGAACTTATTTGCATACTTTAGGTTTAGCTTAAAATCACTGGCGTTGGTCATATCAAAAACGAAAGAAACAGCAGATCCCATCACGCTCTTCTGCAGGTTTCTTGTTGATTCTATTTTTCGCTTTCTTACTTTTGTAAATACTTAAATTCTATCAATTACAAATCAGAAAATTAACTTCGCTGTTTTTTCACTATTTTTCTAAATGAATATTTTAAATTTAAAAAAAAAGAAGAAAAAATTAATTACAGTATCTCTCAATTCCAGACGCATATTACAGTTTCATAATACAGTATCAGATTTGGAATTGCTTGAAATAATAAAACCAAATTTGATCAAAATATTTGATCTGTACAAGAATGAAGCGTATCAAAATAATTATCAATACTTTCGAATTTTTTTACTTGCCGTTCGTTTTATTTTTTCTCCTACAATATACCAAACATTTATATTATTTGTTAAATTAAGCTACAGAATATTTTGATTTAAAAAAAATAACTATGCTAATTTTCAATAATTCAATTTTTTTTAAATTTTTATTCACTGCAATAAAATTAATATTGAGAATATTTTCTTTCATAAAAATGGAATTGGATTTAAATTAATTTGATTTTAAAGTTTAAAACAATTTTAGTGTTACAGACAAAATATTTAAGTGATATAAATGCATTCAAAATATTTAATGCATTTTATGCAAATGGCATATTTACGAAAATATCGGAATTTTATATTAGTTGGATTAAACGTTGTAGTAGCAATCATAATTTCGTCCGATCCATTCTTATCAAAGCAGGAAGAATGAATGCTGAACCAAAATTAGTCATTGATATTGCGAGAAGGTTAGAATGCTAATTTTCCTGCAAAATGCTATTCGATTATAATAATCAAAATAATTAAAATTAGTAACTGCACTATAAATTTGCAACAAAGTGTAAATCTTTTTATATTTTCAAAGAAAATTTGCAAAGAAGGAAGAAGATCTAATTCTGATGAACTGTGAGATGAACAACACTGCCTCTGCAAGTAAGAAAGAACTGTCAAGTTATGCGCGGGATAAAACTATACAAAAGCAATTGATGGATAAAAATAAAATTACTCTGTCAACTTGCATAAAATTTTATAATGTTTGTTATTTATGAAGTATTGAAAAATGAATAATTTACAGAAAATTAGGATTAAAAATTAATTACTTTACTTTAGAAATTAGAAATCAATTCTTGATCTTTTTAAAAAAAATTATGAATGATATGATAATAATAAAAAATCATTTTAAAAAAAGTGATTTCTATACTTAAGTCATTTTCAAAAATCAATTAATGAATCATTTTTGAAATTTTTGATTTTTTTGTGAATGATATGTTTTTTCAATTTTCAGAAATCTGTTACTTTTTTGCATTTTATTGCTTAATAATATTCAAAGCTGAACAAAATTTGGAAAATGTATTCATTAAAAATTACGTGAAAGATAAATTAAACTTTAACAAAGTTACTATTTTATGTTTATAGAATTTATAACTATTTATCTTCTAGTAAAACTTGAAAAAAAACTATGAATGATAACTTTTATTTTTATAGTTTGCTCCTTAAAGCAAAACATTTTTAATAATAAATATAATGTGAATTATAATATACTTTCACTATTTACTTTTTCATAATTACAGAACAAAATGCCACCATTCAATTATATTTTTCAAAAATTATCTCTCCCAAAATACCAAACTTTAAATGGTTCTGTGAACTATATTTGTATGTTGAAAGGAATACCTGATCGGATTTATATGCTAAAAGTAAGAGTATTTTTTGCTTAATTTATTGTTACAAATATGTAATCATATTTACTTAAGCAAATTTACAAGTTTTATGAAAAAAAATATTAATAAAATAAAAAACTGGAAAAATTCATTTGAAAAAAACAAATTTTTAGGTCAGGCAAGAATATCAAGCAAATTTGGAATTATTTATGTACAGTAAAATTATGGACGATCTTCGCACTATATCAGGAATTATTGAAATTATTCAATGCCTCATGTTCACTGATAAATGCCTAATCGTTCAAGAATATCCATGTGCAACACTAGCAGTAAGTCGGTACTTTCATTGACTGATCGAAATTCAAATTATTATTGCAATTTTATTACTTATTAAGAAAAAGTTATTGATACACTTCAGCCCAAAATATTCAAGAATTTGATTTAGAGGACCGATTATAGTAGCCTGATAAATTTTTTGACTCCAAAGCAAACACAATTCCTTATTTGATGTTACTTTTGATAAATGTGAGTTTTTTGTGATATATCCATAAACTTTAGGATTTCATACAAGTGCAAAACAGCGGTAATTTAATTTTACGTGAGTCAGTAATTGGAATAATAGTTCTTGACTTGATGAAAATTTTACGATGCTTACAAAAAAATTTCATTATTCATGGATGCTTTAAAAGCGACAACATTTTCATTGCTAACAGGCTGTTAAATTTTCTGTTGCATAGAAATCTGATCACAAACTTTTTATAGTATCATTAAAATTTATGATTCTAATCAAAGAGTTGTTGATAAATTCGAATTCATTAAAGAATTTTTTACATGCCAAATTTTTAAATTATTACAATTTTAAATAAGTAAGTAATACGTTAACATAGAGACACAATTAACAAAATTTTTGCAGAATAAAAAATAAGTTAAATTTTGTTATGCTAAAAGGCGAAGCAGCACTATTAGTAAAATTAGGAAATTGGGATTTTGCAAATGAAAGTTCTGATAGCAAAGAATATCATGAAAATATCAACAAAAATGAAATCGTCATTAAATCTGAATATGTTAGTTTTATTGTAATATATTTATTCTACTAATGACATCATAAAAGCATTTTAAATTCAAAATTTTACAACAGTAATATAACACTTTACTGTGTCTAAAGCAAACAATATGATAGAATACTTTAGCTAAAATATGCAAAAATATATTCTGATAAGATAATGAGCAAAATTGAAGACAAAAACAATTTTCTCTTTATTTTTAACAAAAAAAAGCATGCCAAGATTTATCAGCTTTGTCTTTCTCTACTACTTTATTAAAATATTAAAATTATGAATATTAAAATATAATCATTTCTGAATTCTTTTTTTTTAAATTGTATTTTCACTTCATAGAAAGTAATAATTTTATTTTCTAGTGAAACTGATTTTTCTAGAGTAAAATGAAATAAAGCTAAAACTGATGTTACAATCATATAATGCAACCAGATCAAGAATTTAATCTATGTTAGAATAAAAAATCACTTTAAATGATAACTGAAACTGTGCAATCAATTCAAATTTTTATGCTTAATAAATCAATGTAAAACTTTAGTTGCGCAGTGAAATATTTAATAGTCGCAATGCTAACTTTTAAAAATAGGTTGAAAGACAAAAATATTTTTCAATTAATTTAGGACAATGATCAGTGGAACCACGAACGCGATACGAAGGATTTTATAAGTATTGTTCACGAACTATGTGATCAACCATTAGAGTACGTGGAATTATATAATAACAACATTTATGTATAAAAGTAATAAAGAGGAGCGTTGAAAAATTTTACGACTGTTCGGAGTTAAAATTACTGCATTCTTTTATTTGTATAAAATGAATCAACCAAATTTCGAGTCTTTAAAAGGCATACATTTTTCTATCAGTATCGAAAATAAAAAATCTAAGATTTATTTTTTATTTGCAGATGAAAAAATTCTCCTTAAATCTTCTTTAGTTTTTTTACTACAAACAAAAATGCTAATAAGTATAAGTGCCATTTTTGAAAATTTAATGCATGTCAAATCTAACACTATAATTATTTAACACTAAAACAAAAACAAATTCGTTATTATTTCAGGAATTTTTATATGCATCAATTATGGTTAAAACTTTTCGATTTGGAATTACCTTCTGAACACGAATGGAACACACTGATTGATGAATTAGCAGAAGCAGTAGATATTCATATAAATACAAACCGAGGAATTCCGTGGATTACAGCCCAAGCAGAATATAATGCAATATTTGACGATTTACTGCAAACAAACTTGGAAATGCGTTTATAATTTTATGGAATAACTTCAGTACACCAAAATAATAAACATAATAGAGCGGCTTTATTTACTTTGCTGTTCAATTCTGCGATTGTATTCATATTCCAAAAAATATTTAATACAAATTATAATAATTTTTCATTGAAAAGAAAATCTTCCTTGTTTACGCAAATCTGACATCAATAATGGTTAAGTATACTGTCTCATACCAGTCAATCTCTTTCAAAATCATGAATATTGACAGCAAAGATTAAGAATCCTGCAGTAGTATTAGCAAATTTTGTAGTAGTAGCAGAGAGCTAAAAATTTGATCGAGTACTCATGCATCCCAGAATAGTCAAGTAGTGAAGGACTTGATAAAGCGAAAAGTTGCAATAGTGAAATTTTAAAATATGAAAAAGAGAATTTACAATGAATTATACCAGAAACATACGTGCGAATTACACACTCTCTAAATACAGACACTGAATCTAAAACAGAAAGAACAAAAAAAAGATAGGAGATATAAAATGCAAAATAACAGAGAAAACCGCTGGTCTCTAAAATGAAACATCACTACAAACGTAATATAAAATTAATACTTGCATCATAAGAAATGCTGATAAGAATATGCAAGATTTAATAAATGATTCTGCACACGAAGTAACTCCACAACACTTTTATTTGAATGCACATAAATTCTCTTGCGCAAGTTCCGTAGCATAAATGACACAATGAGCTGCTTCATGTATCTCACTCAAATTCTTTCCGATTTCCTGAAAACGAATACAGCATAATTTATTTGCTAGAATAATAATGAATACAACGAAAAACTGAGATAATAAGCAGAATTACATTAACTTTACTTCGTAAACAGAGATAAGAATTTTTAATACTGCTTCTTTTTATAGCCGGAGAAAGTAAACATAGATGAACCAAATTAAACACGAGAGTAGTATTCATGCAAACAGACTTGATTTATTATTTGACATGACCTCTGGCCTTTCCTTCACCCCTTTAAATGAGCGAAATCTTCGCTAATGCCATGTAATAATTCGGTGTTGATACAACGCATAGACAGAGCGGTATTTGTATTTAATTTTTCTTCAGTCTGTGTAATAAGAAAGCCTCATAGCAGTAGCAGTTTACTTCTGTAGTATGTATATAAAGAGACAATTCTACAACAAATCCATTTCAGGCACCCTTCTATATCCTACTTGGGCTAATTATTAATCTGTCCCAATGAAGTTTTGGGATAGCAAATTCATGATGAAGATGTGGATGATTATTGCCTCACAGATGTTCTGCTCAGGGGTCAAAACGGTTTGTGCTCACTTTTATGCTTGAACTAGAAATCACATTTCGGTAAGAACTATCATTACAAAACATTTGCAGATCCACAAATAAATATGAATCGAAATCTTTTCAAATTACTTCTTGGTTGATGACCACAATTAATAATTTTCCAGGCGCCTTCTTATCTTTCTGCAAATGCTACAAACACCAATGGAATAAATGAACTTCATTATCACAATTTACGGACAAACTCCATCGAAAACCACTATAGATCCTTGGACTCCAGCAATCCCAACTATTTTCCCGTCCCTATGTCGTTCAAGGAATGTGATGATATGATAAATGAGTATTGGGCAAAAATGGAACAACAACCAGAAAATGTTTTCAGTATCAATTCCATGCAGGTAAAAATCCAAGTTTTTGAATCCTGT